CACAACCCTGCTACGGTGGTTTGTCAAGTCTATAATCGCTCATACACCAAAGTCCGGTCGTCCAAGCATTGCAGGTGTGGAAAAACCCCATTAGATACTATGTGTTATTATCTATTTGTATAAACTGACAGAAATAAGTTACTAAGAATGTGAATTTTCATATCTTTTTTTTTTTTTTTTTTTAATGAATGCCATCTTCCAACTGGTATTAAGATTTAAGAGTGTGTTGAATATACTTGCAAGTTGTTGCCAAACCGATCATTTGAAGCTCCGGTTTAAGTTTTTTAAATAATCCCCTTTAATCAAATCCTCTCTCTGCATCAACTACCTTGTGCTGAAACATCATGAGCACTCGCGTTAAGTGATTGCACTTGGAGAAGACGGCATTTAAAACTAAAAGCAGCGTGCATTTAAAGCAGTCTTTTAAATAATTAATTGCATGCATCAATCAGTGTGTGATGTGTTTTCTCTTCCTTTGTTGATAGTCTCTAATTTACACCCTGGAAAATAATCACAAATTCAAAGCTCCCAAATAAGTGTGTCCTGCTGCCGCCCAGCACGGCTCCTTCTGGTGCGCACTAAAGGAGTGGGGAGCGAGTGCATACAATCCAATCGCCTCCCTCTCTTTCTCCTGCGTGGTTGGAGTTAACCTCCATTTTACCAATTTGTCTGTTTCAACCGAAACCACCAGCTGTGTGGATGCAATTTTTAAATCAACTGAATAATTACGTGGTTACAGTGCATCTCACCTCTGTGAGCCACATTATCAGTGACATTTTCATTTCAAATGAATGATTATACACAAGTTGGCCTCAAACGAAGCCCTCTCTACACTCGTCTGTTTCACAGCGTAAGGTAAAGCTAATTCTCTGTAGCCCGAAGCCTTTTTCTGCTACTTGACACCAAATCTCTATTATAGGATGACATATCGCCAGGTACAGATTGACACAGTGTCAATTTAATCTCCAGTGGCTGCCATTAATGGATTAAAAGAGCGTATCCAACCCTATCATGTATTAGTGGCAGAATTGAGGACATGTTTTGGCTCTGTAATAATAGGCTTGGGCTATTTTTGTGTCATATTCTGTTGTCTTGGTAGCAAAGTGGTAGATATTGTTTTTTCCTTTTGGGATTCAGAGGTATTCTATTGTGAGTGTAATACCCAAGCATATAAAGCAAGAACCCTGGGTATGTGACTTTTGGCAAAAGAAACTGGTTTACTCTAGACTTTGTTTTTATTTTTCTAATTTATAGAGAATATTTAATAGTTTGAAATAAAAAGAAAGGATCTTTAAAAACCTGCTCCTGTGTTCAGGGTTTGGAGGTTGAAAGGAAAATGCTACGCTGTGTCCTAATGTGCAGCGGACCGCCCAGACTGAGTCACACAGCTGTCCCTGTGCTTTTAATCAGCCCTAATAACCATTTCAATTCCATTAGCAGGACGCAGCGGCTCCTCTCCAGCACTAGCAGAGCCAGTTAAAAAAACAGAGCATGCACACACAATAACATGACACAAAATTGTGTTAACCTTGTGCATATCCTGACAACACTCTTACATAGTCGGTCTTAGACGTTCTGTGTATATTCATGCTGCTGGAACATGAGGTGTGCATGCCTAAAAGGGGATTAAGGAAACAAAGAAGATTGTTAGGTTGGCGTTGAATCAACTAGTATTATCACTCAAGATTTTAAGAGGACCTAATATATACTTTTAGCTTCAAATAAAAAAAAAAACTCTTAAAAAAACATCCTGCAATCCCTCACCTACTTTGTTCTCAGTTTCTACAGATAATTTGCAAGTGTTTTGAATGTAACCGTAAAAATTAATTTACTTCAGGAATTTTATTTTAAAATGTAAACCTCAGAAATTATAGTTTTTTCACACTAGAAGTAAATTATTTCAAGTATTTTATTTCTATTAAACTTGATGATTATGGATCCTCTTAACATCTGTCTAGCAACTACAAGTGAGAGTTAATTCTTTCCCGGAAAGTAGCAGAGAGCTAAAAGAAGACCGAAAAGCATTTTAATAGCCGTTGCGACAGTTGGAGGGTCACCTGAGGTCTGAGTGACCCTGAAAACAGGACTGTTTTTTCTGTGTGGTTATTATTACTATTTATTTTATTTTTATTTTTTTACTTCAAAGACCCAGAGAAGCATTTACTAAATGCTTTGTTGTTTCTCAACTGGAGGAACACTTACTCATAGAGCTTGAAATTAGCTCTTAACAAACTTGTTTCTTTTGATAGTCCTGTGACTAGTGTTGCTGGCCTTCTTTTTTTTTTTTTTTTCTCATGAGTTGGACTGCCCCTTTGTTCCAGTGAAAGACATTCTGAAATCTTCTGGATGCTAAGAGATTTTGGAGAACTTTGTAGGAATGGTTTAGGGATCCCATGTGATTTGGTAATGCCACAGTAACCTGGTACACAGAGCATAGTCCTTTTTAAACGTGCATCAGCTTGTTCAGTTTGTAAGAACTTTCATAGAAAAAAAAAACACTTTTGTGATGAACTGGGGCTGAAGTGGTGAGCCACACCTTCTTGTCTGACCTCCTTGAACAAAGGTCATCATTTCGCATAAACACTCCCAAATGCACATACATAAGTAATAACCTGGACATATCCACAATGTTTTGATCTTTCTCTGGATGTTTACATTTCCAAAACTCACCAGAAGGAGCTTTTGCTAGCTCACCATGTTTTTACACTCGGGTCTTACCACGTAGTCACACATTTGTCGGGTGCATGGTGCGGTAATTCTGTCGACACGGTTGCCGCGCAGAGGGATGTAGAAGGCAAAAATGACATAACCTGGCAGGACGGTTGCGTCAAGCCTAATAGAATGAGGGAGGTCAGCTGTTTGCCAGCGGCAGCTCAATGGGAAAAATTAGCCATGATCCAAGTGGGAGATCCAGGTTTGAATCATGGTGTCTCAGAAAGTGTATCCGGTGTAAAAACTTAGCCTAGTCTGTGTGCCAGCTGCAACACCTTGCATTGGGAGCAGATTAAAGGGCTCTTTTAATGAGGAAAACCATTGTTTTGGTAATGAATATAAAGTGAAATGGTTATCTACTTATTTGAATTTGTCTTTGAAATCATTTAATGATAAAGTGATTTCTAGAGTTGTCCTGATCCGATATTAATATCAGATATCGGTCCAATATTTTCCAAAAACTAGTATCTAAATATATCAGCCTGTATCTAAAATCTTCTGTTTAAAGTTTATTTACCTTATTGGTTTATACTGAAAGGGTTAGTTGTTCTCATACCTATTGTTGGAGACTATAGTTCTCTGTTTTAGTTATATCACTTTATCAAGCCTTTTCTAACATTCTACTGTACAAATAATAAGTAATGGAAGAATTTATTATTCATGCTGATATCATGTGGTCAATAGGGGTGGAACGGTTCACAAAATCCACGGTTTCGGTTCGGTTCACGGTTTCGTGGTCACGGTTTTCGGTTCGGTATATGTTGATTGTTAGCCTGACATGTTGGTCGTGTTGCTGTTAGCATAAACAACACGTTTTGCACAATGCTTTCACACTGTTGCACTTTTATCCACAACTTTCTTTCCGCCGTTATCGTGCGTCACTCTAAATGCAAAGTGGTCCCATACAGCAGACCTATAAAGTGCTGCTGGCGCGTCTTCCAACTCCTGTTCTTTCCCACTCGCCATACCCACACAGTTCTCCACAACAACTGATTTTTTTTCTGCTACACCCGGCTATGATGCTTCGCTTCTTCTTCTTGTTTACTACTAGTGGTTGGCTTTGGTCACAGTACTGCCACCTTCTGCTCTGGAGTGTAAACGCTTCGCCTATGAGAAAAAGGAGCACTGCATGAACCGAACGCAACACACGCGAATCGAACCGAGACAGTCGAACCAAACGGTTCGGACAGTTTTTCATAAACTGTTCCATCCCCAGTGGTCAATATTTGTTTCGATCAAATCTCTCAGCTGCAGCATCTGCATCGTATTAGAAATTAAAAAGTTGTATCAGAACACCCCTAAATGGGACATTCGTCTTCATTTACTTCATTATATATTTATTTAAAGGCACTTTACTTAACCATTAAACTTATCTATTGTTTGTTGTTTTCCCCAAATAAATGCACTTACAATTGCCCAACCTGTAAAGATAAATTTTTTCTATTTACAGCAGTTGCCTCTATTGGCTTTTTTAGTGAGATCATGAGAAAGTGATTCAGGTCGAATTCTCTGGGTGTGCGTGTTGTGCGAGTATGATGCTCTGCATGTTCTCTTTCACTGGACTATGTTGTTGGGTCTTTGTTGCCATTGATGCTGTTTTTTAAGATGGATCATAGAAGATGAGCCACAAGTGCACCTCAAACCCCATCATAGACTCCACACAGGATAAAGAAAATGTAAGGGACAAATTTTAGACTCATCAGGAGCAAAATAACATGCTGGTAAATATTAGGGAAGCTTGAACTAAATGAAGACAGATTAGATCTGGTTTGGGGATGAAAAGAAGCCACAATGGGTCCTCTGTTTGCGAAAAATGTGAGATTCTTTGTTCAAAATCACTTCTATATTTATAACTCTTTCCTCAGAGACATTATGCCTCTTAATAATACATCTGTGTTGTTACAGGGGCGGATTGCTTTTATTTCCCTTTTTTCCAGTGTGCATGCAAAATTTGCAAAAACTCTTTGACTTTTTTCCTTTTGGTCTGTCATAAACCTCACCCTTCAGCTAGTTCTTTTGGATTTTTTTGGACAAAATTCAGACCTTTTGTGTTTACTTCATCTGCTGCCAAATTATAGTAGATGTCATCTTTAGAAACTTTTACCATGATATAATGAAATGAAATAAATATAGTTTTTTTATTTTAGTACGATCATAGTGGGTGAGTGATATAGGGTTTTATTATAACAAGTTTTCTATTCATGGAATCCCAGCCAAAAGTTATGTTGAGCTGTTCCTACTTATTTCCTTCTCACCTCCTAATATCTCCTCTCCCTCCTCCCTCCTAGCTCACCAATGTGGTCGTGCCCTTCATGTTTAAGTATGCAGTGGACGAGCTTAACCAGATGTCGGGAGACATGCTGAACCTGAATGACGCGCCAAGCACCGTGGCTACCATGGCAACGGCCATGCTGATAGGCTGTAAGTCCACAACTCGTATTACGCTGCCAGGTGTTGTGCTCATCTGAGACTGCTGGACTCCATTGTGTGCAGGCTGACCTTTCCTAGCATTCATATGAATGCTGCCATGCAACCTCTTCTCCAACACTCTTTACTTCATTAGCTATTGTTTACATGTACATCTTTTTTTATTATACTCTTACATTTGTATTGTTGGCTATGACTTTAAGTGGTAAAAAGAAGCATACATGTTAAAGCAGAGGTTACAATAATAATAATATATATATATATATATATATATATATATATATATATATATATATATATATATATATATATATATATATATATATACATATATATATGTATATACATATATATATGTATGTATATTAGTGCTGTCAAAATTATCGCGTTATTAACGCGTTAACGCGAGGCCATTTTAACGGCGATAATTTTTTTAACGTGAGATTAACGCTATGTGGTTTTATGGTACAATTTTCCAAGTGCATCCCGCTGCAGCCTGCGAGAAGGCGGGGCTATTTTCCCCCAGTCTATGCATTTCTCATAGGCTTCGAGAGCGGACCTCCTCAAGGGAAAAAGACGCTCATACACTGGGTGACGCTAGTGCCTTTTCTTTACGCCCCACCACCAACAAACAAGTTGAGTGTCTGGTAACTAGTAGCAACCTGAAATACGCTGAGAAAACAGATTACTGAGGTGAAACGGAATCTGCTACGGCACGCTTGCTGTCTGTGTACGCAACAGGTCGGTATCGTGTGTGTGTGTGTGTGTGTGTGTGGGTGGGTGTGTGTGTGTTCTCATTTTTGTTAAGAGGCTGAAAAGTAACTTTCTAGAGAGCATAGACTACCTCCATCTAGTGATGTCGGTCTATTGATTTTGATGTATTGATTGAAAATTGTTCATTATTATCTTGGTTAATTAACATCTAATGTTAACTGTACTACATTTTATAGCAGTAGGGTAAAATGCTTGTCTTTGTTCAAAAGACTGTATTAACTGTAAAGACTGTCTTTTACATCAGCCTGTTTTCAGGGCCTTTTTTTTGGCTACATATTTGTTATTTTTTGCTACATGCCTCCCCATCTTCTTGCCATATGTTTCTATGGCATAAATCAGTATCTGTGACCTGTTTTCATTTTTAAAAAAGAACATTGGCACAAACCTAGCCTGTATGTATTTTTTTGTATGTCATCGAGAGTATTTAAATGATTTTCAATCAGGAAAAAAATGTGCGATTAAAATGCGATTAATCGCGAGTTAACTCAGGCATTGATGCGATTAATCGCGATTAAAAAATTTAATCGATTGACAGCACTAATATATATATATACACATATATATATATATATATATATATATATATATATATATATACACTATATTGCCAAAAGTATTTGCTCACCCATCCAAATTATTGGAATCAGGTGTTCCAATCACTTCCATGGCCACAGGTGTATAAATTCAAGCACCTAGGCATGCAGACTGTTTTTACAAACATTTGTGAAAGAATGGGTCGCTCTCAGGAGCTCAGTGAATTCCAGCGTGGAACTGTGATAGGATGCCACCTGTGCAACAAATCCAGTCGTGAAATTTCCTCGCTCCTAAATATTCCACAGTCAACTGTCAGCTGTATTATAAGAAAATGGAAGTGTTTGGGAACGACAGCAACTCAGCCACGAAGTGGTAGGCCACGTAAACTGACGGAGCGGGGTCAGCGGATGCTGACGCGCATAGTGCGAAGAGGTCGCCAACTTTCTGCAGAGTCAATCACTACAGACCTCCAAACTTCATGTGGCCTTCAGATTAGCTCAAGAACAGTGCGCAGAGAGCTTCATGGAATGGGTTTCCATGGTCGAGCAGCTGCATCCAAGCCATACATCACCAAGTGCAATGCAAAGCGTCGGATGCGGTGGTGTAAAGCACGCCGCCACTGGACTCTAGAGCAGTGGAGACGCGTTCTCTGGAGTGACGAATCGCGCTTCTCCATCTGGCAATCTGATGGACGGGTCTGGGTTTGGCGGTTGCCAGGAGAACGGTACTTGTCTGACTGCATTGTGCCAAGTGTAAAGTTTGGTGGAGGGGGGATTATGGTGTGGGGTTGTTTTTCAGGAGCTGGGCTTGGCCCCTTAGTTCCAGTGAAAGGAACTCTGAATGCTTCAGCATACCAAGACATTTTGGACAATTCCATGCTCCCAACTTTGTGGGAACAGTTTGGAGCTGGCCCCTTCCTCTTCCAACATGACTGTGCACCAGTGCACAAAGCAAGGTCCATAAAGACATGGATGACAGAGTCTGGTGTGGATGAACTTGACTGGCCTGCACAGAGTCCTGACCTCAACCCGATAGAACACCTTTGGGATGAATTAGAGCGGAGACTGAGAGCCAGGCCTTCTCGTCCAACATCAGTGTGCGACCTCACAAATGCGCTTCTGGAAGAATGGTTAAAAATTCCCATAAACACACTCCTAAACCTTGTGGACAGCCTTCCCAGAAGAGTTGAAGCTGTTCTAGCTGCAAAGGGTGGACCGACGTCATATTGAACCCTATGGATTAGGAACGGGATGTCACTTAAGCTCATATGTGAGTCAAGGCAGGTGAGCAAATACTTTTGGCAATATAGTGTATATATATATATATATATTAGGGCTGCAACTAACGATTATTTTAAAAATCGATGAATCGGCCGATTATTTTTTCGATTAATCGATGAATCGGACAAAAAAAATTTTTATATGAACCTCTTTATTCCAAAATAAACATTTTAGACAGAACAAACAAGCACACAAGTACAGGTTGCTCATTAACTGTACTGGTGCAACATGAAAAATAAATGTTTGTGTTAAAACTTTAACGAATTAGTTAAAACTAATTCGTTGCCAACGCTTTTAAAAGTCGATTTTTATCGATTTTATCGATTCGTTGTTGCAGCCCTAATATATATATATATCTATATCAACTTGAACAATTATTCACAATAACAGCCCCATGTTTTTACTTTAAAAATCAGCTTTGATGCAGTACACAAACTAATGAACACAAAAAGAAAAAAACTGATGCATAATTTTTAACATTTTGGCAAATAGATTTCTAGGAAGTAAAGCTTTCATTAAATTTGTGTCACTTCCTTTCTGTTTACTTTCTGCAGTATGTCTCAACTAACCAATGCAGAAACATTTCTTTGCAGATTAGCTCAGGCTAAGTTGAATTGTTTGTTTTAAACGATTGTGATTTTGATTTTAATGCATGACTAGAGGACATTTTACACTACCCTTTTGAAACCGTGCCAAGATCGTTCCGAGCAGGGTAACCAAGATAACTGTTGAGTGTAATTGGCACGCTCAACTGAACTGGACTGTGCCAGACAAAATCTAACCATTATCAGTTTATACCTAACCTAAACTCAGTTCACACCCAAATCCTAACTGCTTGCAAAAAGCAAAATAAGTCAAGGACCGGAAAAAATGTCCTCACTCTGCTAGAGAAATTCAAAACATTGTCCTCACTCTGATGCACAAATAGAAGCACACACACACACTCAGGTACACTGACCAAAAGTCCTGATGGGAACTTTGCACATGTTGGGAAAAACGTGTAGTTGCATATTTCCTTTCTCTGCTTTATTTTTGATGAATGGAGAGATTTGTGGATCTATGCATTAATGATTGTCCTGTACACAGACTCATTCTCTCCAGCTTTTCCAGACTTATCATGCCGCTCTAGGCTGCTTGTCTGATTTACGCTCTCCATTCCTAATCCATCAGTTTAGTCTGACTGCGTCTTTGTAGATTTAGCTTTTTGAGAACCATTGCTTGTATTGAATTTCTTTTTAAGGTTACTGGGGTAGAGATGGTGAAATTCAAAGTCCACTCTGTTCAGAAATTAATTGGCAATATTATTTGCTTTATTTACTGGTCTATCACATACAGAATAAACACAATTCTCTTAAGTATGTAATGTGACAGAAATGTAAAGAAGTTATGAATATCTTAAGACGATGTGGAGCCTGTTTAGGAGGAATGCAGGAATCAATTCGATTAAGAGAAATCATTGTTATTGTTCCTGCTTTTAGGCACTCAGGGTCCTGGATGTGAAGCCTGCAGTGACTAGTGTAATTTTGCTGTCAAGGTTGCACTGTGTTCATCATACCTTGTCAGATGTGGACACATTGTTCATTAGATGAGCATTCCTATTTAACGCCACATTACAGCCCCGCGAAGACCAACAGACGGAGAGATTATCACCCTGAGTTAGGTCTCAACAGAATGCTCATGTGTTCCCACAGCATAGAGGCAGCACGCATCTTACAGACACAACCTCTTATCTGTTTATGAGAGTCGTTTTAGCCGTGTGTCGGCGTTTGTCGTCTGTGTTTTTGTAAGATCAAGCAATTCTCATTTTTAGTGTGAAGTTGTTAATTTTTATTTGACAGAGGTAGTTAAAATCAATTATCTTCAGTATAAAAACAAGCAGTAATTCAAACGGTGTAAAGAGACTGCTTTCCTTGTATTCACTCATCTTTTTAGTCTTAGAATGCTGAAATTAATCCTTGTAATTGAAAACTTTACTCTTTTTAAGTCTGCCTCCATTTTCTAGTATTCTGAACACACATGCAACCCCCACACACATTTTCAAGCACGCTCAGATACCCTCCAGGTCTTCAGTCTGTTGTGTATTGAGGCTTTGCAGAGCATCATAGTATGTAATTACTGGTGGGAGTCTGTTGCTGGAGCGCTGCAGCGCTTACAGGCCAGAGATGATTTGAAAGATTGGTCCCTCCACCTCATCCTGCCTTTCCCTTAGTGCAGTCAAAAGGCCCGAAAATCTCATCTGCCTCAGTATACCGTCATTTATTTCTGGGCGTTAACGTTTAAATCACATCTTTATCTTATTTCAGAACGTTTATCTGTGTTTTAGATCGCGGTCACACATGATTTCTGTACCATTTAAACCTCCCTGCTGTTCACAGCAGGTGTTCTTAAAGATCCTCGTCTCCTCTGCTCCTCAGATGGTGTCTCCCGGGCTTGTGCTGCATTCTTTAACGAGCTGAGGAACACTGTGTTCGGCAAGGTGGCCCAAAGCTCCATCCGACGCATCGCCAAGAACGTTTTTCTGCACCTGCACAACCTGGATCTGGGGTTCCACCTTAGCCGCCAGACCGGGGCGCTGTCCAAGGCGATTGACCGCGGCACAAGGGGCATCTCCTTCGTCCTCAGCGCTCTTGTCTTCAATCTAGGACCCACAGTCTTTGAGATGGCCCTCGTCGGTGGCATTTTGGTCAGTGTTGCAATATAAATAAACGTATACTGTATAGAACAGCTTTGCTTGGAGTTCTGAGAGAGAGAGAGTTCTCTTTTAGTGCAGATCAGCCAGCTGATCTGCAGTGAGCATTTAAAGGTCAGGTTCAATTTGCTGGATATTCCAAGGAACACAGATGTAATAGATGGTGACAATACCCTGTCGTCTGCCTATTCATTTCACCTTGACATTCCTTGCAGCTGATTGTCTGGAAATCATTTTCTGCTTTCATGTCTCATTTGCAATGTAAATGAAATCTGGATTTCTTTTGGAATCTGAGTCCATTAGCATCACTGATGAATCCCAAAGCTTTTGGAGCCACTTAATGTCCTCCATGTTCCCAATAAACCCACACCCCTAGTCTTTTTAGACACCACAGAATCCAAGTTTCCAAGAATAACAGATTGTCTGAAATGTGAACAGTCTTCATTACCCAAGTGAAAACCTTAACATGATTATTAATTTCCTATATTTTTCTCTGTTAGTGAAACCCAGTTTTATACAGGAATGGCTAAAAACCTTTAAAAGCCCTGATACAGTTGGGTCACTGTCCATGACGTGGTTCCTGAAAGTTTTATTTCAAAATCTTAAATTACTGCATATAAAGATGCTCCATCTTGCTCTTCTCTTCCACAGTATTACAAGTGTGGTGGACAGTTTGCAGCAGTGGCCTTGGGCACCTTGTCAGCGTATACTGTATTCACAATCCTTGTTACTCAGTGGAGGTAGGAAGATTTCTATGGCTTTTCTGTCTGTCTATAGGTCAGGATTGTTATTCCTTGGCAAGCTCTGTAAATACCTCAGTGGCTCCTTGTGCTACAAGGAGAAAAAAATGTCACCTACTGGCTGAAACGTACTAATGAAAGCACTGGGGTCACCGTACACGTGTCTCTGCACACAGGACTCGTTTCCGTATTGAGATGAACAAAGCAGACAACGCAGCAGGAAATGCAGCTATTGACTCACTGCTTAACTATGAGACTGTGAAGGTGAGTTGGCAACCCAGCCAGGCTTCAAAAACATCTATCTTCATGCTTTTCTTTTCTTTCTCTGATTTATTCGTTTTTACTTTTTTGCTATTAACTAATCTGTCTAAGTTGTTTTTGGCTTCATTACATTTGAATCAATAAATTCCCTTTTCCTGGTCTGTCCTTCCATTGAGTTATTTGATTTTCCTATTTAAAAAGATGTAAAAAGAAACTTGCATATAAGCCCATCATGACCAATATACTGAGAATCCCTGGACTCTGAGATGTTTTTCCCGTTAAGTCACATCTCTTGCTGTAGGTTAATATTTTGGCGTCTAGCTGACTGTTGATTTGCTGAAGCTTTTAAGCTTCTTCTGCATTGTTTTCCTTTTTTAATGGTCCTGTTTAAATATAATTCTATGTTTACATTTATGTGGAGTAGCCTTCCCCTTTACTTTATTCAAAAGGGTGAAACAGTCTTCCTGTTATAATAAAATTTTGCCCTCACCTTTTTAAAGAAAATACTTTTTTTTTAGAACATTCTTTTATTTTTTTATTTACCATTGTGTTAATTCTTTTCATATTTTCTCATTTAGTGTTTTTGTGACGCTAACTTCAGGTTTTTGTCCTTGAATCTGACTGGTTGCTTTAAATCAGAGACGTTGATGAAAATCAGCAGAATCATAAAGAGATTTCTAGGCTTATGCTAATCCATGAGAAATCTAGAAAATTTAAAGGATGAATCTAGATGAGATTGTGTGAACTGATGTTAAAGCCAGTGCACGTTTTCCCAGTTTTTCCTAGGAAATTCAAAGAAACATCTTGTGTTTTTTAGAAGACATACTTTTGTGTCCTGCAGTCGCCATTCCAAATACATTTGGTTTCAGTGTTATTTTCTTTGCTGTGTGATTTTGTGTCCTGTTTTCCTTAACATCTTGTTCTGTGTTATTTTGTGTCATCTGTGTCAATGTGGCCAGATTTAGCATCACTCTGAGCTGTGAGTGTGCATATGTAATTAGATCTCCACCCACTCATAAATCCGTTCCACTTCCACAAAGGGCTGTATGAGAACCTGAACGCGGTGCCTAGCACTGCATCAGTTTGTCTTCCATGTGCTACTTTCTGATTTATTTTTTCGATTCCACTGCTTTTTCTTGTATGCAAATCTGCTGTAAGTTGGCAACAGTGCAGCTTCACTGTCATTAGCATGAGGAGCCAATCGTCCACTTAACTGGAGCAGGGAGATGATAGAGCAAACTAAACAAACACTAGTTGTGTGATAATAAGTAATTGACAGCACAGTTGTGGTTTGTTTTCTTTTGTTTTATCCATGGAACTTCTAAAGTGTGTTTGTGGCTGATGCACAAGCTATTCTCTCATAATGATATCTGTATTAATCATAATTAGTGCTGTAATGCAGGTGTCTGTGGAAGCTGCTGCATATGTAAATGCACAGAGAAAAACATCCTAGTGATGATTATTCAGCCGTAATTCTCATTCAGAAGTAATGATTAGGCTTCAGTGCCTCATCTCTGTAACTGTTGTTTGTGCCACAGTCGCCCTGCCCTGTCACATATTCAGATCTGTTGCCAGTTTAGCAAAGCGGGCTTTGGATTCTGTTCCATCGCCTTCATGTCCTTTTTTAAAATCAGTTGGGAGCAGATGAAGACACAGACATGAAAAAGTGCTTTAGAGGCCGACTGAGACACAGTCGCCGCTCGGAGCGGTCGCTGAGAACAAATGCAGCCTTGAGGCATACTGGAGCTAAAGTGTGTATCTGCCTGACACAGCTCTCCATGCTTCTGTAACCTTTCCCCTCAACCATATTTGCGCCTTTCCCTCTTCCTCTCTAAACTTGCACTTCCCTTCCTCCCCTTTTTCAATTTGTTCACCTCCCTGGCCCGTGCTCCTTTCTCTCCCCTCATGTTTCTCATCTCATCTGCAGTATTTCAATAATGAAAAGTACGAAGCTGAAAGGTATGATGACTTCCTGAAGATCTATGAGTCATCCTCTTTAAAAACCACGTCAACGCTCGCTATGCTCAACTTTGGCCAGAGTGCAATCTTTAGTGTTGGCCTCACTGGAATCATGGTCCTGGCAAGCAAAGGAATTGCAGCAGGTGAGTAATTTATATGGTGATTAAATGTAAATGAGGCTTATTTTTTAGGGTCACACTGAACTATCCTGGTTTGACAATGTCAGCCATTACTAAATTGTGTAATTTGGAATGGCTGTAAATATAAAGTGTAAATATGAAGGAAAATTTAAACTTGGAATTTCATTGATTATAGAATCTTTCAATGTGAGTGTTTTAAAAAAGAAATGAAAACAAAACCAGAAAGAGGAAACTGCCAATTAAAACCCAGGGTGAACTCCATTATGGAAGCTAAATGAGAACAAAGCACAGCATGCTTGAAAAAGTGACATGAATAGGAAGTAAAATAGCCTTGATGCAGAAAATGAAATCACAGGGGGCTGAGATGCTCTATCGTTTTTTCACATTTTACTGCCCGAAGCTTCCTCTGATGGACTAAATCAAAGTTATTCAGAAGGAAGTACTTGAGGTGAAATGTTGCATGATTTCATTGATTTTTAAAAATTATTTATTCTATTATTATTATTTTTTTACTAACAAAGCACAGAAAAAAAGTTCCCACCCACCCCCTGAGTTAGTACTATCCCTTCACCATTCGTGGGATCACAGTAAACATTGTCCAGGGTTACTGACTTGAAACACACATGGGTGATGCCTTCTGGAAAGGAACTACAAAAACAAAATTCACAAAATGTCACAAACTTATAAAATTATCCTTCTTGAAAACCAAAACACATGAAGATGTTTAGAATTTTATGTCTCATGGAGTAAACTCCATGTGATGGGCTGTGCCTAATTCTGTCACCTTAAGGCTAAATAGACCATCGATAGGAAGCATCCTGCTTCCTCTTCCTACCTCCTACCACCAGCACTGATCGGACTACATTTATCCTGGCGATTGCTGACATACTTCCACTTTGGCTCGAGTCTCTACCGATTTGCTGATTTCTGTGAATCCTGAGTGGAACCACTTTAGCTTTAGTTACAGCTACAAGTCATTCAAGCCTGAACCAACCAACCCGAGTCAGCTTTAAAACATAAATGAAGTTTATGACATTTTTCCTTATTTGGAACGAAAAAATTATGCTCTTTCCATTTGAAGATGTTGGAATAAACACAGCTCCAAAAGATGTTCAAGGCGTAGAATTATGTTTTGTTGGCTAACCCTGCCAAGAACATCTCTGCACCTTTGTTCCTGGACTCTCTTATGTGTCCTTTGGTCTCCATGATGCCTTTTGTTCACTAATGTTCTCTGACAAACACCCAAGGCATTCACAGAGCAGCTGGATTTATCTTTTGATTAAAATAGACACTTATGGACACTTTTTATTAAACTGGTCATTTTTGAAGTCAGGTCTTTTTAAAAGGCTGTCAGGGTAAAGTTGGCTGATCAGCAATGCTTGCTACAATTTTAATCTGTAAAGATTATTGAAAACCATTTATCACGTTCTTAAAGGAATAGTACACCCAAAACATGATTACCCTTCACTTTCCTCCCCCTATGCTGAACAACACTCTGGAGTACTTTTTTGATATCTCAAATGCATCTGGAGATCTGGGAGGCTTCTTGCTGTCTGCTGACATTCAAATAATGGAGGTCTATGGCGCCCGAGACAGAAAGGTCCATAAAAGTCCACAAAAAACGTGTCAATATTCCTCCATACTGCTCGTCCAATGTATTCCAAGTGTCCTGAGTGGGTAGCGTCCATAATTTACTCAAAACGAAGTCATTTAGAATGTTTTTAGAGCATAAACAGTAGTGTATAGGATTTCCTGAAAGCGCGCGCATGCGCGTTCACGACGCTACGGAAACCGCGGCAGACCAAACCAGATGAAAGTGCGCATTTAGCGTCTGCTCTGCCGATAATGCAAGCGTAGAAGAAGAAATGTGCTGTTTACCTGTGCAAAGAAAGAAACGACGAAAGAAAAATGTCTGAGGACTTCAGTGTTGAGGAAGAGCATGAGTTCTTTGCCGAGCTGAATGCGCACTTTCATCTGGTTTGGTCTGCCGCGGTTTCCGTAGAGTCGTGGACTCGCAGGCGCGCACTTTTAGGAAATCCTATACACTACTGTTTATGCTCTAAAAACATTCTAGTAAATTATGGACGCTACCCACTCAGGACACTTGGAATACATTGGACGAGCAGTATGGAGAAATATTGACAGGTTTTTTGTGGACTTTTATGGACCTTTCTGCCTCGGGCGCCATAGACCTCCATTATTTGAATGTCAGCAGACAGCAAGAAGCCTCCCAGATCTCCAGATGCATTTGAGATATCAAAAAAGTACTCCAGAGTGTTGTTCAGCATGGGGGTGAGTAGAAAATGAAGGCTAATCATGTTTTGGGTGTACTATTCCTTTAAAAAGTGTTTTGGCCATAAAATTTCAATGGAATAACTTCAACCTTGCTGTTTTGATGTGATAAAATGTTGATGATTGTAAACCGTTATGTTGCATTGATGTAGGTACTATGACCGTGGGAGACTTGGTGATGGTGAATGGCCTCCTCTTCCAGCTCTCACTTCCCCTCAACTTCCTGGGAACAGTGTACAGAGAGACCAGGCAAGCTCTAATTGATATGAACACGCTGTTCACCCTGCTCAGCGTCGACACAAAGATCAAGGTAACTTGTCAGCTTGACAACCATTTTGGGCCTCTAATGCATTTTTCATTAATCATTTTTTATCCTCTAATAAGGGTGAACTTAAAAGACTAATTTGTGCACAACAGCAGGCGAGTGTAGAGTTTGGCTGGAAGTCTAATAGTTAAGAAAGCCTATTTTTTACTCACAGAGAACCAGTCCTGAAAGATTCCATCCATGGTCTAATAGGACTTTCTGAATTTCATGATTTTATGCGTTTTCCACAATATAAAGTGCACATAAAAGCCTTAAATTTTCTCAAAAAGTGCATCTTATAATCTAGAGAATCTTATACATGCAGTAATTCTGCTGCTTTCTGACCTTGAAGCGATTTTTGGTGGTACCTGACGCTCACAGCATTTCAAGCATTATGGGTACTCTGTCAGGAGTGTGCCGCAGTTAAACATACTGTCCTACACCATAATATTACAGTGTGTATGTATAAGGACCCCAAATGACAAACAACTTCAAGCAATCGTCAATTCAGCATTAATGAATCAATGGCGCGGAAACAGAGGAAGCATGATGACGACCTGTGCTTTATATATGAAAATTGTTCAAAAATCGGTTGGTTAGACTGCATCAAATCTACATGTTACCAGATCAGCCACAGTTGCAGCAAAGATGGCTGCCTACCACTATGCTAACGGTTAGCTGAGCTGAGACTTTTAGCATCTTTATTTAAAAATGACGATGGAAGATGGGATTCTAGTACCAGAAATGTATACAATTTAAGAAAAAGAGGGGCTGAAATGGAAATTAAAATACATGTCTTGATGAAAAATGCGTGTGTAAGGAAAAGGAAGAAAAAAAAAATACATTTTTTGCTTTACTTTTTGATGTTCGTTTACTCTATGCCTACATTTGGATCCTGATGCTGGAACAGGTTTTAGCAGGAAAGTGACTGAAAAAATCTGCTTGATTATTAACCAGATTTTTTATTAGTTAAAACTAACAGTGACTCTAAGACACATTTTTATCCTGCAAAAAAAGGTTCTGCATGCTTGGAATCATTTTTATTTCATCAACTACCGTATTTTCACGACCATAAGGCGCACCGTACTAAAAGGCGCAGTCTCAGTTATGTGTGCCATTTCTGTATTTAACACACACATAAGGCGCACCGGACTATAGGGCGCATTTTTTATATACAGGTACATGTCCTCTACTACCTTTAAATAGCTCTACTGCGTATTTTAAAAATACAGCGGGCCCAAAACTGAGTATGACTGTGCTTTATTCATGTATTTATTACAAATTAATCAAACCTGCGTGCTGGCCATGAGACAGACACATCGCAGATGACAGCGCTGTGATTACTCCTAAATTAACTTAAAATCCTGAAACCTGCCGACGGAATATGTTCGCTTTTATTGCCGGTATCCTGGTGCCTGCACTGTAAATTATTTAGATGAAAAAACACCTGCCAGCCGCCGTGTGAGGCTGCTGTTGAAGGGATTTACTGTCGGTGTACCGCTGGTATGTGGGGGTCTGAGCGCCTCCGACAGAAATAGATAATCTGGATGAACTGACTGCAATTAAGTTTTCAGGTGGCCTTTCTCACTTAAAAACATATTAAAACTACTTTATTCCCACTGATCACAGCAAATATAGCTGCAAGATTTAGATTATTTAGATGAAAAAACACCTGCCAGCCACCGCGCTGAAGAGGAGGAGACGCGCCCACAGGCTGCTGTTGAATTAAGTTTTCAGGTAGAAAAATAGAGCGGGAGCAAAACTGAGTACGTTTGTGCTTTATTCATGTATTTATTACAAAGTATTAATCAAACCCATCAAAGTCATCATCCTCTGTTATCCTCAGCATTCCTCTGAATAAAACAGCTGCGCTAAATCAGACATGCCAATTTCCCCTTCTTCGCTGTCAGAGTCACTTTCCGTGCAGCGCGGCTCCTCAGAAATAATGCCGGCTTTTGCGAAAGCTTGAACAACAGAGCCAGCAGACACTTTAGTCCAAGCATCTACAATCCATCCGCAAACGGTGGCGTAACTTGCCCGGCGCTGCCTTCCACTTATCCTGAAACTGTGCTCTCCGTCTGTCATCCATCGCTCCCACGCCGCTCACAGCCTTACTTTGAACGGCCGCTTCACACCGATGTCGAGCGGTTGAAGTTCCTTTGTCAGACCCCCGGGATAACGGCGAGCACAGCGTTAATTTGATTCATCTTTTTTTTTCACATCGGCTGTGAGATGGGCACGCAGCGATGGTGATGCGTGGCAAAAAGCACCTGGTCTCCTCACATACACCTGCCTTTCATCATCTCCCCAGCCCGTTTCATTTGCGTTAATATCATATGTCATCAGAGCGCTGTGTCTGTCTCGCTGTCAGCTCCCAGATCAGCTTCTCTGATTGGTTGATGCGGCGCGTCCAGCAGCAAAACTTAAATTTTTCCATCTCGAGCAGCAGCAGCGCGTTGGCGGCGCGCTCCCGACGCGCTGCACCTGCAGCTCAAAACGCGCTGCAGGACCTTTTGCTGCACCTATACGCGCGTCAACCATTGACTTTGCATGTAAACTCGCTGCTTCTGCTGCACCTGCTGGGTCCGGTTCACACCGATGTCCAGCGGTTGAACAGCGAGCACAGCGTTAATTTGTTTCCCCATGTTTTTCACATCAGCTGTGAGATGGGCACGCATGGAGTTGCATATTAACAGCGATGGTGATGAGTGGAAAAAAAACACCTGGTCTCCTTACATTCAGCCACTCTTTCATCATCTCCTCAATGAGGTGGTCTCAAAAGTCGCAGTTACAACACACATAAGGCGCACCGCACCAAAGGGCGCACCGCACATTTTGAGGGGAAAAAAAGACGTTTAAGTGCGCCTTATAGTCGTGAAAATACGGTAATCACTTTTTTTCTTTGATTCTCATTTTGTTCTGATCTATCTTAATAATTGTGCCCGTGTGCTTATAGTTTCATGAAAGTTTTAAACAAGTTAAAGTTTTTCTGTTGTCATTCTATCCAACTTTAAATTCGAGAGGTTGTTGAGTTTGTTTTAACGCTCCCAGTCTTAAAATGAAAATGTCCCTTATCTGCAGAAGAGAAGTAGGCGGCATCTTTTTTTAAGGTTTTTGTTTTTGCCTCTCCTTGATTGTTTTTTATTATAAATGAATGACCCCTCCATTTTTCTTTTAATTGGGGTCTTGTCATAAAACCCTTTTATACTTTCCACAGATAGAGGTGAAGCTATGAATTCTGTCCAGCTTTTCTTGTAGAAAAAACAACACACAGAAATTAATTATTGAAGTGCTGCTGGTCTGGCACTGGACCAGTTGATTTAAAATTGTTTTTGGATCCAAACATGATGTTTTATTTTGTTGAAGTGAAAAAATTATAAAAAGAAAGGTAGAAAGATATGAAGTTTTATGTGCAACTTTTTAGAAGATGTGCAGATGACAAAAGAAAATGAATCCCTGTGTTTGAATTTGTGGTTTAAATACTCTTTTAGCATCAAATCAATTATTATTACCCCTATTAATGTTTTATCATTCAAAGAGTTGCAGCAAAGGCATTTTTAAATCAACTAGGGCTGCAACTAACGATTATTTAAAAAATCGATGAATCGGCCGATTTTTTTTTCGATGAATCGGACAAAAAATATTTTTTATATTAACCTCTTTTTTCCAAAATAAACATTTTAGACAGAACAAACAAGCACACAAGTACAGGTTGCTCATTAACTGTACTGGTGCAATATGAAAAATAAATGTTTGTGTTAAAACTATACAAACTTACATGAGAAATGTAGCTGTACATCCACAAAATATAGGCTACTTTGTTTCATAAAGCGCAAAAAAAGACATTTTTGTTTTTAAAAGCCTCTAAGGGGTTCAAACAATAGGCCCCCCCATTTCAACAAATGAGGTTTTTTTAGACTAGAAGAGTTCTGCCTTTTAAGACAGGAAAGTATAGCAGTTAAAGTTGCTGCTTGAGAAAATACTGAACCATAGAGATAAAAATAGCCCTGTGATTCAAATTATAAATTGTATTTGGAATAAAAATAAGAGAACTAGGGGTGTTAAAAAACACATCCTCCAAAGACAAATATTTACATGGGAATGTGGCATATAATTAATTGACCTATTACTGATCTTGCTGGATTTTATTCTGCTTTACTTCCATAAATTGCAGGATCTTCTTTACTTTGTCTTTGCCAGAAGATTTAAACTTTAAAAGCCTTGCCCTCATAATTTGCAAGTTAATTTATTTATAAAGAAAATATAAACGCTGCTCAAGCTAATTTAAATGAAATTAAAAGTAAAATAAGTAGCCAACCTTATTACTGTCTGTAACCTACTTACAAGATAAGGAAAGCATCAGATGAGCTACCTGAGAAACTAACGTTACGTTTCCCCACTTTAAAACGAAACAAACATGGTCGCTCACCCTGCTGATCAGCTCTCTTCACTGCCATTGAAGGCTCCAACGTGTTTCCTTTTCAGGTGCTGCGTCATAAGAGTGGTGCTTCCGCGCCATGTTAATTTGTTTTTCACAAAAGTTGCCTGTTACGACTTTTTTCTCTTTACAAAGCGCAGGCTATTTTAATTATTGTGATCAATTTGCGCCGTTAATCCCGGCGCATGCGCGCTTCATTCGCAGTCTGGACGCTGAGGGTAAATATCCTCTGACTGCAGCGCTGAGAGGGACTCCTGCGGGAGTGCGGGGGTTGGGATGGGGGAGGCGCCCCACGGCAATGACGACGCTGGCGGATGACTCATTAATCGCGCGACACAACTAATCGATGAGGAAATTCGTTGCCAACGCTTTTAAAAGTCGATTTTTATCGATTCGTTGTTGCAGCCCTAAAATCAACATGCATGTAAATCAGTGTGTCTATGAACTCAATCCTGGTTCTTGAGTATAGATTCAACTGAAGAGCTTTTATCCAGAGGCCGCTTGGCTAAGATGAAGACTCATAGTAATTTAAAGTCACAGTGTCTCTATAGCAACCTGATGCTAGATATTAAGCAGCTATTCAGAATTTGACAAATGCACCTCAGAGATTGGGGTCAAACCTCAAATTAATGTGAAGAAAGGATCCTTATGCCTCCTGTTAAGCATGGTGGCTGATGTGTCATGCTGCGGGCCTGTTTCTCTTCCTGGTTAACCTCGTTGTAGTATATGACCTTGAGAGGCGTCTGATTCAAGATGACTTTATGTTTCCAGCACATTAAAATGTTTGTTTTTTTCAGATGTATACTGTGATATTTTTATATATAAGCTGAAAGAGAAACCTACAATAAAAGCAGAATTTCTTTCAAGCCTTTTCCAGCTCAATATATATACATGTATAATATTGTATTTCTTCTCAGTAGCTCATTTTTATTTTGTGGGAAATGTTGCCGCATTTCTCCCCTTTTCTTTTTGGACAGAACATGACAGCCCATCCGGCGTCCTAAGAGTGCACTTAAGTGCAAATGTGTCTGCCTGCCCGACAATAAGAAGGCCATTCCCATCTCCAGCACTGTAATTACAGTGCTAGTCATGAATCTGTCCAGTTATTTTTTTCCACTCATCAGTAATATTCCTCTCCATTGTGATTCCTTGTGGAATGGTGCTGCCCTGCAGGCCTGTATTGTATGACTGCTTTTTTTTGTTTCCTAATGTGGAACACATTGTCCCGTTTATGCAGATGTAAAATTATTTAAAACGACACGTCTCACTACAAACTGCGCCTCACCAACCAAAAACAGAATGATGATAATTGTGGCTTTTTTCCATGTTGGAGAGTGTGGCATAATGCGTGTCTACTAATGCTCTCTGGGCTATTTACATGAATTGACTGAGGCAGATTGTGGGTGAAGATGTTTGTTGTAGGTTTTGCAGAAAACCTTTTCAATTCAATTCAATTCAGTTTATTTATATAGCGCCAAATTCACAACACATGTCATCTCAAGGCACTTTACAGTTCAACCAGATCAAATTGATACAAAGTTTTCTATCTAAGGAAAACCAGTTGATTGCATTGACTCATTGACTCAAATACAATCCCCCACACTAAGCATGCTTGTAGCGACAGTGGAGAGGAAAAACTCCCTTTTAACAGGAAGAAACCTCCAGCAGAACCAGGCTCAGTGTGAGCGGCCATCTGCCGAGGCCGACTGGGGTTCAAGGAGACAGAAGCAGAGATACAAAAAGCAGCTGTAAAAGGCGGCCCCGTCCAGGAAACACACAGCCAGGCAGACGAGCTCCAAGGCAGCTCCCATGCCAGAGGACGAAGAAAGCACATCCACTCAGTCACGGTCAGAGAAACAGGACCACACTGGAAAACAGGCCGATCTCCAACATCTATAAACAAGGGTGTTGATAGAAGCAGCACAGCTGATGTTTCTTTCCAGGATGACGTCACAGCCAAACAGGAACAGACGAGGCAAAGCTACTCTGAGGAAAAGCAGAGAGAGCAGAAGGTTAGAGATTGAACTAACAGATTCTGCAGAATAGGAGAACAGAGAGAGAATGAAGCAGAATGATGAAATGGGGGTCCCTATGTCCTCCAGAAGTCTAAGCCTATAGCAGCATAACTATAGAGATAGCTCAGGATAACCTGAGCCACTCTAACTATAAGCTTTATCAAAAAGGAAAGTTTTAAGCCTAGCCTTAAAAGTAGACAGGGTGTCTGCCTCACGGACTAAAACTGGTAGTTGGTTCCACAGGAGAGGAGCCTGATAACTAAAAGATCTGCCTCCCATTCTACTTTTAGAAATTCTAGGAACCACTAGTAAACCTGCAGATTGAGAGCGAAGTGCTCTGTTAGGAACATAAGGAACAATCAGATCTCTGATATAAGATGGAGCTTGGCCATTTAAGGCTTTATATGTGAGAAGGAGGATTTTAAATTCTATTCTTGATTTAACAGGAAGCCAATGAAGAGAAGCCAGGATAGGCGAGATATGATCTCTCTTTTTAATTTTCATTAGAACTCTGGCTGCAGCATTTTGGATCAGCTGAAGGCTTTTAACTACAGTTTGTGGACTTCCTGATAGTAAAGAATTACAATAGTCCAGCCTTGAAGTAACAAATGCATGGACTAGTTTCTCAGCATCACCCCTGGACAGGATATTTCTAATTTTTGCAATGTTCCTCAGATGAAAGAAGGAAATTCTAGAAACCTCCTTGATATGGGACCTAAATGACAGGTCCTGATCAAAAACAACACCAAGATTTTTTACTTTATTATCTGAAATCAGTTTAATCCCATCCAAATGAAGTGACTGGCTAATCAGTTTCTTTTTCAGAGACTCTGGTCCAAAGACTATAACTTCTGTTTTGTCTGCATTCAGAAGCAGAAAGTTAAGAGTCATCCAGGTTTTTATGTCTTCAAGACATGCCTGTAATCTATGTAATGGGTTAGCTTCATCTGGATTTATAGACAGATATAGCTGGGTATCATCAGCATAACAGTGGAAATTAATCCCATGCTGTCTAATAATTCTACCAATTGGGAGCATGTATAAAGTAAAGAGAATTGGTCCTAGCACTGATCCCTGTGGTACTCCACAGGTAACCTTTGAGCGTGTTGAAGATCTATCATTAACATGAACAAACTGAATTCGATCAGATAGATAAGATTTAAACCAGTCTAGTGCTGTTCCTTTAATTCCAACAAAATATTCAAGTCTTTCTAAAAGAATATTATGGTCAACTGTATCAAATGCAGCACTAAGATCCAACAGGACGAGCACAGATACAAGTCCATTATCTGAGGCCATGAGAATATCATTAGTGACTTTCACCAGAGCTGTTTCAGTGCTATGATGAGCTCTAAAGCCAGACTGAAACTCTTCAAAAAGTTCATTATGGTGGAAGTGATCGCAAACTTGTTTGGCAACTACTTTCTCAAGAATTTTGGATAAGAAAGGAAGATTGGATATAGGTCTATAATTGACCAAGTCATCTGGGTCAAGAGACGGTTTCTTAAGCAGAGGTTTAATTACAGCAACCTTAAAAGCTTTAGGTACATATCCCTGTAACAGAGATAGATTAATCACATCTAAAATGGAGGAGGAGATCAAAGGGAATACCTCCTTAAATAACCTGGTTGGAACTGGATCTAACATACAAGTTGAAGGCTTAGATGAAGACAATAATTTTGCTAATTCAGAGAGTTCAACTGGATCAAAGCAGTCTAAACCCAGTTCAGATTCCATGACTACCTCAGGTACAATCGCGGATAGAGGAGTGCTTATGATCTTATTTTTAATAAGATCAATCTTATTTATAAAGAATCCCATAAAGTCATTGCTGCCAAGAGCAGGTGGAATGGACGGCTCAACAGAGCCACGGCTCCGGGTGAGCTTGGCAACTGTACCAAAAAGAAATCTAGGATTATTCTTATTCTCCTCTATTAATGAGGAGAAGTATGCTGCTCTTGCTTTACAAAGGGTCCTCTTATACAGCAGTAAACCATTTTTCCAGACTAGGAAGGACTCTCGCAGGCCTGTGGAGCGATATTTTCTCTCCAGTTTCCTAGCATTTTCACTCTCAGCAAAGGATCGGGTTTCATTCAGTGCTGACCTTGGCCACATCTCAGCTCGGTGTGAAGCTAAAATTTATTATTGATCCTTGAGCATTGAAAATGAAGGGCAGAGTGAAGATTCTGAGGGCTTTCTGTAATAACTGCTTACAAATGCGATGAATGTCTCTGCATTCTGCCTCTTTAGAAGGTGCTGTTGCATCACTCCAGGCCTTGACTCACACTTTTCTTTTTTTTTCTCACGTTTTTCTCTTGTTTGTTAATCCTCTAATGGTTTTGCTGTAGGAGAAGGATCTGGCCCCACCATTAATCGTCACGCCGCAGAACGCCACAATTCGCTTCGAGGACGTCTATTTTGAATACCTAGAAGGTCAGAAAGTTTTAAACGGAGTGTCCTTTGAAGTTCCCGCTGGAAAGAAGGTGGCTATAGTTGGTGGCAGCGGGTCAGGGTAAGTTCGGTTCGGTGAATATTACCTAGAGGTGCACCAATAAGGCTCATCTTGATTGATGCCGGCTTCGGGTTTTGTTTAAAGCTTAACCCACTGGTAACAACCCATTCTAGCCATTGTTGTTATTTTACTAAAGATGCAAAGACATAAAAGGAAATATTCACTGCTGGTTCTTTAAGCAGCAATTTGAAATAAATAAAAAACAATTGGAACTGTGAAAAGATTCTTCTGATTCTCTCATAAATTAACGATAAGAAAAAGCAAAAGTTGTAAATGATTCAATGCTGTCTCCTCATGTTAATTGATCTCAGGGTGATTGATTGGTGCGTCTCTAGTGTGATCACTCTTCCAAGCATCTTCAATAGACAATGAGTAGGTGTGGCTTTCTGTGTTTTACTGATGAGGTGATAATACAGATTTTTTTCTATCTGTTTGCAGGAAGAGCACCATTGTGCGGCTGCTGTTCCGCTTCTATGAGCCTAATCAGGGAAACATCTACATTGCGGGGCAGAATATCAGAGACGTCGGCCTGGACAGCTTGAGGAAGGCTTTGGGAGTCGTACCTCAGGTCTGACACAAGTAAATTTCTGAAAATACATGCATGCAAATATGTTTACGTTTTTTAGTTGGGTACTATGTTCCTACAAATACTGAAAAAGTATATAATTTATGTAAGGGAAATAAAGTTTTTGATTTGTTGTGTGAAAGATAATGTCTGAAATTCAAATATTAAAATACAGAATAAATTAGTTTGATTATCTCTAAATCTATTATAGACTTTACATTTATAAAATAGAATTTTTTTTTGTGTGCCAATAATTTTTTTTTTTTTAGCCTTATAGGCACTGGCAAAGATTTCACCTGCAACTGTGTTGATATTTTATGAAGTCTCAAGATACCCATACCAGCAGCTTTTCACCAATCAGATGAACTCATTTGATCATGTGAATCAGCAGCAGTTAGTTTGGTTCCCGAACTCGTAGAAATTAGCTTCACCTTGTAAGAAAGCACTAAATTTTCATGGCATCCAAACCGCACCTGTTCAAATACAAGTTAGTTGTGAAAGCATAATGTGGGAAATATTTGATTAGAGCTAGTGCGCTACAAGCTAAGTGAAGAAAGCCATCTCTGTCTAAAGTACCGGTGTGTCATGTGATCTAAGGAGCATTTTTCATTGCAAAAAGACCTCTGGACACAATGCAGTGCTTGCGGTCTAAGTCATCATAAAAGATTTATTTCGGCAGCAATTTTTATTAAAGGCAAATTTCTGCATGCAACATTTTAGTGGAAATCGTTGCTGGCTTGAAATGAAAAAAATTCAATACTTGCATAATTCAGTTCAGTACATAATTGCACAGGATACAAATTTACTGTTGTAGATTTAAGGTCTGAAAAAGTAGATGGGAAATATTAAAGTTCTTATATTGGTTTATTTTCATTGCATCTCCTTAATAGTTCTTCCTTTAAATGCAGAACAAAAAGATCATAATTTGATAGGTAGCCAACCTCATCATTAGCTGTTAAACATACAGATGGTAAAACCGAACTTGGTACAATTTGTGGTTTAAATAAAAAACAAGATTTTTTCACATCTTTTTTATAGAAGCAATGTATGAAAACAGTCTCTGAATATGTTATATGAAATGAGAAACAATGATTTGTGTAGAGTAATTGTTCATAAAAATCATTTTGGTTTTAGCGAGCACTGAGAATGATCTGAACAGATGGCGCATGAACATATTTTGTCATTTGCTCTGCTCCTCTTTCTCTGCCCCTCCAATCCTGTTGTCTGTATCTTACCATCCTCTGTTTCTCTCACTGCTGCCATGTTATCCTCAGAAGCCTCATTTTGTTCCCTGACTTTATTGTCACCAGGATGCCGTTCTGTTCCACAACACCATCTTCTACAACTTGCAGTACGGCAACATAAATGCTACAGCAGAAGAGGTGTACCAAGTGGCACGTTTAGCGGGTCTGCACGACGCCATCCTCAGGATGCCCCATGGCTACGACACCCAGGTTGGAGAGCGGGGCCTCAAGCTGTCAGGTCTGCTGCACATTTATGTCCTCTGACTTCCCGTTGAATGTGATCTCCCAGATACAAACCAGAGCTGCGTACTGCGTCTCACTCACATCGTTCCATTCTTAACCAACAAATTTAAAAGCTCAGCTTTCATCCTGGTAACTGGCTGCTAAGAGCTTGTATTCTATTGTTAAAGCTCTGGCAACAAAACCCAGACTGTTACGTTTTTAATAACGTGATATACAACTAATTATTCAAAATGCACACATTTTAATGAGATTTTCCTTGGAACTGTAACTTTTTTGTTCAGTTTATTTCTTTAAAAAAGTAACTTATTTAAAAATCCAAATTGGTTTATTTTTTTGCTTTAAAAAACAAATATTTGCTTATTTATTTGTATTTATCCCAATATATCCTGATACATTTAAAGACAATATATCGTGATTATTTTTATCATTTTAAAGCTCTGGAAAACCCCATGACATTATTTCTTGCTGCAGCCGGTGCAGAGAAGTTAAATAATAGGTTTCTGGGTGGTGCTCTGCCAACTACCAGCTCCAGGTTTTAGAGTCATATAAAAGTTGGGCCGTGAAATGAATGTTTGCCTATAAAGATTTTTTCATTTAACATTATTAATCATCAACGACAACGTTTTTTAATCTATGAAACACATTTTTCCATAATAAAAACAAGAATAAACAAAACAACAACAGTAAGACACACAAAGAAAATCCATTCAGCCGCATTTGAACCATGATGAATATAGTCTAAGCTAAAGTCCCTCTTCACAGTAATGTGGCGGTCAGCTGCACCAAAAACATCTGATTGGAGCACCTCTATACTCTCTTAGTTAGGTTATTAACCTGTAGAACAATAAAATTATAAAACTAGTTGTGGAGTCACTTGAAATGTTAAATATCTTAGAATCAATACCAAAAGAGGCCATTTCCTCTAATACCTGTCGGAAGCAGTGTTCTAGACTACATGCAAACCTTTGGTCATGGTTTTATATTGGACATTTTAGCGTAGCTATGGAAGGAAATATTATCATACCCTTTAAAAACTAAATACTAACGTAGAATACACAACGAAAACTCGAATATCCTTGAGGTAGCTACTTAACAAGAAATTGGCTCTGGAGAGCAAGACTATTCCTCCATTGACCCTGAAAAAAGGACATATCAGAAAGAATTTAATTTTAATGATTTAAGGTTTCTCTTTCATCTTTGCACACTTGGACTGCTTAGACTGCTTGCGATGAACTTAAATTGTTGGCATAAATCCAGATTTGCTGGCTATTCCAAATAATGTGAAGACACTGTAATACAATTCTGCAAGCTGTTCTCGTAGAAAAATTTAATGGTTGTTAATTAAAGTAAAAACCACCAAAATCCGCTTCTTATATGGACCTGCCATTCTGTGCCTCCCTGTGGGCCTTTCCCTGGCTGCTTAAAAAACAGAAACAAAAGCAGCCACTCATTATGTTACAAATACAGAGGAACAATGTTAGGACATCTGTCTGTGGGCTGAATCTCCAGGGAAACATGGCCATGCAGGAAGACGGCATCCTGAACCAGTTGAGCTGTTCCTCCACCTCTAAAAACCAAGGTTCAAACGTTCATGAACTTTCACAGATGTCTTCTGTTTTTCCGCTCAGCAAAGGATGAACTAAGATAACTTTTTAAATTGGTTCTCTTTGTATATTTGTGTGTGAGTGTTTATTTGAAAGAATTTTACAGTGTTACTCACATGACTAATGAACAGATATATATTTTTTTTAATCTGGACTGAAGGAAAAAGAAAAAGCCCTTTAAGTATTTGAGCAAATGAAATATAAACTTTTTTGTTGCTAAGTAATTCAGTCAAAAGGCAAAGGGACACAAAGGCTCAGACATTAAAGTTAAATAGATTAATAAAATGCAATACAAGCCATCATCTCTGACTAGGGATGGCGCCTCTCAGATTCAGCAAAGGTTGAAACAGCAAAGGTTGTTTGACAGCAGATATGTTGTTTTTTTTTTTTTTTTCATTTGAAAGATTTCGTTTTCCGTCTGTAGATGTAGAGCTGAGGTAACCAGTTTTGGGTCTGGTCTCAAGATTTCCTAAGTTTTCTGTCAAAAATTTACCTAATTGGTTAGAGTCAATTTACATATCGTCACAATTTCTTCTCCACCTGTTCTGAGCTTACGTCACCAGTCAGTTTTGAGAATCTGTACTATCTCCTAATATCCAGCAGACTGGTATGCAAAGAATGAACTCGGGGAAAATGAAAACTCACTTCCAAATGTTGAACTTAAGCAGTTCATTATACTTATAATGTAGCAAAGGCTGAATTTTTTATGATTCACATTGTTTTTTGCTTTGACAATGGATATTTTGGAGGATTTTTGGATTACGTTTGCTGTGTTTCGTTATGTATAGGAGTCCATTAGGATGATAAAATTTGACAGTTGGCTATCAGAACGTGATGCACCTTGAACCTGGAGTTAAGGTTGATTACCTTAGGATTGTTTTGTCTACCCTCTTCCACCACTCACCATCTGTCTGCGACGTCTGGCATTCCATCTCCGTTTGTTTCCACATCCCAGGAGTTTGGTTGCAGCACCAAAAAGTCTAGATCAGAGATGGTCTTTTATAGATCTAAATCAGTGATGGCTTACATTGACACTGAAAAATAGATTTTGAATTTTAAACATTGAAAAATCCAGCAGAAACTGTGACTCCTGGGCCTGGATGTATTTCTGATGGTACGATAATATTAATTTTAAATTTCTCGGTTTCACTGTATCAGGGTATTTATAAAGCACACTTCCCTTGCATGATAGTTTAAATGCTTGCTAAATTGTGTTCTGATGTTCGGCATTTATATAAACTCTTTAGCAAAGTTCCTCAGTTCTGGCCCTCAAGGTCCGATATCCTGTGCATTTTTTTTAAGGTAAATCTATAGCACATGGCGAGCATCAATGCTCTGTGCAGGCTGCTCTTCTCAAAAACCTGCTTATGTAACCTGAGAGGGTTGGGCCTGTTGTTGAATGTGTCATGTGACCTAAAGCTTGATTTACAGCAATCTGAGTGTGACAGTCTGCTGGTCCAAAGCAGTCTGCAGTCAGTTTGAAATAGTTCTGCTGATTTATATGAGATTGTTGCTTTTTGTAAATAACTTTTCAGGAAAGGGACGTTTTATTTCAGCGAGCATCTTCAATGTCGTCGACATGATTCACTAATAACTGGTGCCAGATTTGGAACACTTAGTGAGCTAAAAATGCACCTGTTTGATTTGATCTTAATTCATTTAAAAATCTGCATCTGAAATGAATATGTAATTTCTGAAGAAACATTGACGCTTTTAAGTTTTGAAATGTTACTCTTCTGCTAGTTTAATGGCTCGGATGTCAAAATAACTTGTGTCCACGCAAAGAAACGACCACAAATTGCATCAAAAGTTAGGGTTAGTTTCCGTTTAATTACTTGCACCATCACTGCGCTGTCATTTTCTGCACTTCAGACCATAAGTGTGTTTAATGGCACGCTGCCTATAAGTTCCTTTAATTCGATCAACACGAGACTGTGTGGACCCGGTTCTTAGCGTCACTCATTTAGCCCACGTAAACAAAGCTGGGAGTCGTTTGTCTTTAAAACGCAATTACCAGCGGCATAGATTCCTACATGTGGAGCAAGAGAGGGAGAACGGACAAAATGAAGACATGAATAGGTTCTCATTAATTTCACTGCTGCTATATGCGACAGCTGTCAGTGAGCAGTGGTGGTGGTGGGGGGATCAGGGGGCCGGTGCGAGCCTCACTGCTGCTCACCGCCAGCGATGTTTACACTTGCTGAAAGCCGCTCGCTTTCAAGGGACCACACACTGCTCATATGCAATGTAGACAGAGTCAGACACAGTGGGAGAAATGTTTGAGCCCTGCTGACTGTTTTTTCGCAATTAAATGGAAGTGTGTTTTTTTTTTTTTTACTGGATTCAAAGTCTGCAGCAGTGGTATTGTATGAGTAATGGCTCCCACAGTTTTGTGGTAATAGTGAAGAGAAGAGCCAAATGGTGACCTGTTGTCTGTCGCTTTGCATATGTCAAACATTGCGGCTCTTCACCTCTTATTAATAATACCTTTCAATTGTCAGGTGGGGAGAAGCAGCGTGTCGCCATCGCCCGCGCCATCCTCAAGAATCCGCCCATCCTCCTGTATGACGAAGCGACGTCGTCCCTGGACTCCATCACCGAAGAGGTGGGTCCTGCTGGAAGACAGACGCATAATAACAGTGGCGAGCTGCCACACATTTAGCAGAACAAACACCCACTCAGTCACCTGCTGTAGGTACACAATAATTCTGCTCCTTCCCGCATCACGTACCTGCTGTGACACACACAGAGCACCCCCATGCTCTCCTCCCCCCGCCACCTGCCTCTGTTTCTCCCACTTAATCTCCAGCTCAGCTTAAACCACACAGTCTTTGTAAATGTTACATCTAATGAGAAAGTTCAGTACGATCTTTCTGAACTTATCCAGAAAAAAAGGGTGAGAGGAAGTTGGGCAGCAGATGTGGCTGTTAATTGACTTTTTTTTTTTTTATGTTGCCTCTCATCAAATCTATGTTTTTATATTATCATATGCACACAGTGGAAAGCATATGAAGGGGGATGTTGCCGAGCAACATTGTATTGACTTAGTTTCTCTGTCAAATCAAAGTGTGGGAATATGTTTCATATATATATTCTGTCATTCACACACCAGTTATTGCAAATTGTTTTCCTTTGGATTAGGAGAAACTATTGTGAGCCTTGGGATCTCCTACAGAGCCCTGCAAAAGTATTCCCATCCAACCTTTTCCAATGTCGTTGCATTACAAAAACTAACGTAAGGGTGTTTTAGTTTGATTTTATCTGATAGACCAACAGCAAAGAGTGTTTGATTGTGAAGAGGAAGGAAAATTATGGTTTAAGAGCTTTTGGATTCATTTTGCTTGGGGTGGAGAGAAAAGGATAAATGCTTTTAATTTAGTTTAGTAATCTAATTGGTGTGGTGTGAACATTCAGTGAGAAGTCATCAACGCATCTATGTGTGGTATAAATCCGGCTGTTCTGGGCAGTTTCCAGAGGTTTGTTGGCGAATGTGTGTAAACAGCATTTTAACAAGACTACTCAGCTTACCTTATATCAGGGAGAAAGTTCAAATCTGATTTAACAGAGAAGTGAAAAGTTCTCCTTAAACCCTGTAAAAAGGAGCTATCAGTCCATAATTTTTTTTTTTAAAAGACAGCATAAAGGCATTTCATCAACTGATTTAGGTTTTTAAGGCTCATGCAGTTTTATTTTTTTGTTTTGTTCTTTTGTTTTTTACATCTTTCTGATATTTCTGGGATGATTCTTGGAGCCAATATTGCTTCTTCATCTTCCTCCATTCACGTGATAAAAATTAGTGATGAAAAACGTTAAATTAGTCTATGCTCATTTATGAACAAGTAGAACGAGGGATGTCCTGAACCAATACAGATATCAGAAGTCTGTCCGATATCAACCAACAGATGAATATTGGAATATACCGGCCTGCATCTAAAATATGCAATACAAGCAAACTGCTTTTATCCATTTATGTTAAAAGTTTCTGTAACTAATTGGTTAATAATATGTGTATCAGTTGTTCTCATACCAACTATTGTTGAATATTGTTCTTTGAATAAAATCAATGATCCGTCTTTCTCAATATTCCACCTTACAAAATGAATAATGAAAGTGTGATTAATTGGAAATGAAAAGTTGTAATGGGACATCCCTAAATCAAACAACACAATAACAATGGATCTGGAACTGAAGGCACAGCAATGCGTCTCCTTGCCCCAAACTCAAGGCATGGCTGCTGAACCCTCTATTGAGTCGACCAGCGTGTGCAAGTACCGATACAAGAAAAGAAAAACATCCAAAAATTAAGTAGAGAGAAGCTAACAGGGAGCCGCAGCTCAGGTGGGTCGATTTGTTGACAGTTTAAGCAGGAACAGAGAAGCTAATTGATGGGAAGATCTGCAAAGTTAGTAGAGACAAAGACCCACAGCTTTAATGGCAGAACTTGCCTCTGATTTTTTTATTCTTTTTTGAGTCTTTGACACCTTCTGTTTGTGCCTCTGTTCTCCGTTCATGTTGGTTTGTCTCATGAAATCAAAATTTAAAAAACGATTAAGATTTCTAGGCAAAATGTTGGGAAATTAACAAGTTAAAGGAATGTGAATACAAATTGCTAAAACGATAACTATAGTTTCCTTGTTCTTCCAGAACATCCTGAGTTCTATGAAGGAGATTGTGAAGGACCGGACGTCTCTGTTTATCGCCCACCGACTGTCCACCATTGTAGATGTAGATGAGATTTTGGTCCTCAATCAGGTAAGCGCTGGTCCAGCATGTCTGTACCTCTGCTACATACATCCACTCATTAAGGCTTTCAGCTGGAACATTGCAGTGATGGGGAAAGCAACCCATATCATGGCTGACTGTCCGAGCGCAAACATCCTCGCTGCTAATTGCCAGTCCAATTAGATACATTTGCATTGAAGGGAGGGACAATGACCTGCACTCGGCATAACCTTCAACGCACTGCATACACCAGCAATGAGGATATAGCGCGCCGCGCTGGTTTCGGCACTCATTTATTTCCCCCGTTACCTTTTCCTCAACGTACGTGATAAAAAAAATAATAAAACCTGCTTTATTAAACTTTTCTCATTAACTTCAACAACAGAACGGCGGTCTGCAGAGAAGAATGTATTATTTTCTCCATAAGGGCTCATTAAAGCAAACCGAGTCGACTGGCTGTTTTGGTCAGATGGCTCGTGTTGTTTGTCTCCATGTCTAATAATGTATGGGCCAGCTTCCCAGACACTGATGAGGCCTTGTTCAGGGCTATTCACGGCTTCTCAGATGACTTCTCTGACAACCACCATTGCTCTAAACTGTGGCAGAAGTGAATCTCTTCTCTGCATCCAGGGAAGCAGAAAAAAAGCCGCACCTTTCAAGGCTGTAAAACACAAAAGAGGTGAGGAGTGAAGTCGGTTATTATCTAGAAAGTAAGAGTTAATATTAGAAGCAATGCGGGTGAGCTGACATTTTCCGCCGGTGCTCAAGCGGGAGGATAAAATGAGAGGAGACTTCTTTGAACTGCGGCGAGCCGAGCTTGTCTCCATCCATGTTCCCGGAGTCAGATGGTGGGGATCAGAGGGTTGTGACGAGGAGGCACGTCTGCGTGTGATGTCGCCACAGTGTTTGCTAGTGTCACCAGCAGAGGACTGCCTGGGGTGCTCATTAAAATAACGAGCAGGGTACAGTCACATGCTCGTACTGGGTGTGCTAAAGACTGTGCCAACACCTCTGCACGCTCACCTGAGGTGGGGGAAGGGGATGCCCTCATTTGTGTGCAGCTGCGTAGGAGGAAAGTGTTTGTCGTTTTTGTCCATGAGTTGTTTTTGGTTTTTTTTGCAAGAAGAGCGCAACAGTTGTTGGGGAGGCGTCGTGGACTCTCAGCAGTGTGGTCACGATGCAACGCTGACTATCTCTGTGTTCAGCGTCCCTTTATTTGAACCTCTCCTCTGTTGTTTCCAGGGCAAAGTGGCAGAGCGAGGCAGCCACAGCACCCTCCTCGCCACGCCGGGCAGCTTATACAGAGACCTGTGGAATGCGCAGAACAGCAAAATCCTGAGCGGCGGCGACGGTAAATTCTCAGCCCAGCCACCTGCTGAGCGGCTGTCCCAGAAAGAGGAGGAGAGGAAGAAGCTGCAGGAGGAGATCCTGAACAGTGTGAAGGGCTGCGGGAACTGCTCCTGCTAAGAGCTGCAGCCGCTGCCATGTTCCCTCATCCCTCAAAGATGGCCTGCACTGGAATCCTTTCTGCAACGGGGCTGGGTCGGGGCGGGGTCAATTCCCTTCCCCATCTGAACCCCAATCACTGTGACCTATCTGTCCTCCTCTTATAAACCAAGGCCGCCGCACGCCAACATGGAGGTGGAGCACAACAGGGAGCAAGTGTGTTTAGCTCTGGCTCCTGGCCAGATTTAGAGCTTTCATGCCAGTTGTCTGAGCTGAAGCAAAGCGTAAGAGACTCGGTGTAAGAAATCCGTGTGCTGGAGACATCTGTTCTCCAACATGGCCGTCTCCCTCTCCTCATTTTGGACATCTGGTTTAGTGACATCTTTCACTGCAATGGAAACATGTAATCACTTGCATATGCCTTGAAGTTGACAGAATTTATATGGATTTAGGTTTTTTTAATTATTGATAAAGATAAACTGACTTTAGGGTTTGCATTTTGTATTAAAGGTGTGTACATATCCCCCTTTATTCTGCAGCTATAGTCTTGGACCGCGGGACAGCTTGAACACTATTAAATGAAGCAGAGGCCCCTCTGAGATTTAGCCTACTGTGCTACGCACATGCTGTTCTCCCTGTTAAGTTTCAGTTGGTTTATTCTTTTTACGCTAATAAACTGCAGCAATGAGAAGATGCAGGAGATCTAAAAGCTTCTCACAGCTGGAGTCATTGATTTCATATAAAAAAGTTTTACAACTAAATACTACTAAAGGGGTTTTAATAATGCAAAGAGCTTTAGATTGTGTGACCAAATATGGAGTCTTCTTCTGTGTAAGAACAGCATCTATATCCTTATCCTCTGAGGAATCTTTTGGTTTCACATTCTCCTTCAAATCTGATTATTTTCTTCTTTAAATGAAGAATAACTCTTTGGATGTCTGCAATAAACTACATGTGTGACTTACCTTCAGAAAGAGTAATAAAGGGTTTTTTTTCAGGACTTTTCTCATCTAGTTTGATTTAATACAAATATTAAATATGGTAAACACAACATAAAACAAGAACGTTTAATAATACTGTGATACAATGTTTGGCTCTGTATGACTTTTTAATACTATGAGATTTCCAATATGAGAATATTGTTTGGTTCAAAACCATTTTCATAAATGGGATGATGGAGTCCTTTTTTTTTATTTTGGCTTAACAGATTCAGGGGATTGGGTTAGAGCATGGAAAACATTTTACCACAATCAGAACTTTATTTTTATTGATTTATTTAATCAGGACAGAGCACATTAATGAACAATCTTGTACTTCTGTACAGATTGTAAATGAGCCAGATTAGAGCATAGTTGCTAATTTACATCTGTCGTCCTGAGGCAGAAAGACAAAACAACACAAGATCACATAATACAATATCAGTCAAAACACATAGACACATGTTCAGATAATGACATTACAACAATAAAATTAGTTTTTCCCTGTCAATATTTCATTAGAACAAGACATATTTTTATTCTGTTTTTTTAAGGAAGATCTTCAGTCGTCATTAGGTCGATCTTTTTAATAAAATTTATATATATATATTAATCCGGACATTAAAATGTTTAGAGTTTCTTCTAGGTACTTAAAACTCAAGCTTTTTTATAGGACATATCAGGGACTTGATTTGTAAAAAAAAATATTCCTTGCTATGGTTCCTTGAAAAAATTGTTCCTTGGTGAACATTAAGCAGGTTTTCCATATATCTTTTGGGCAGGTATGTTTTTCCCCATTAGCCCAGCCACGCCTGAAAATGTTCACCACTGTTTTATTTATCTACTATAGATGGCTTTGATAACTTTATTTGCTCTTGAACCTGTTTAGATAAAGACATGCCTTTTTTGGGGGGAAACAGAAGCAGATCAGAGGAAATCTGGCAAATTTATTTTCCCAGCAATATGTTTGCATTAGTCCAAACTAATGTGAGTTAAAAAAGAAAAGTATCTACTGGAAACACAGTTTCCCAGTTACTTTAAAGTTGAATTAATTTTTCTCTTTGTAGTAGTCAGTCCTAAAGAGTCACTAACATGGCTCTAAGTCTACTCTCCTAATTATCTTTTAACATATTTTTCCCTTTAAGGCCAAACCATTTGTTATTTTTCCTCCCAGTCCCATTAAATTAGTAAAAGAAAAAAAAAAAAACTGTGACAGCTGGTTGCTTCCACATTTCCACACAAACTGGGATTGATTCATTACAGCCAAGGTGGATGTAAGCGTGTCCCCAGAGAACATATGTAATTTAAAACAAATCTAATGTATAACAGATAAATTTAATTTTCAAGATTAGTTCTATTAAAGTTGCCATGAAAAACTATCATTTCAGATATATTTTATGATTTAAATGGGTAAAGAAAAAGAGTTTATGGGCCTGTAATGAAATTATGATCAGAAATTAGAGTATTCAAACTACATAACCCTGAAACATCCCAGTTTGTTGATGCAGACATTAAATATTCAGACTTAGCCTGAAGACAGGAGTTTTTAATTCTCAGGAAGCAATTTTATTCCAACAGCTGCACCAAAATACCAACATGTTAGATAAAGGAGAAGCAGATAAAACACCAGTGGATGAAATAATTCCTCTCTCTCCTGATCATCTGAAATCATTAGTTTATACTGAACACCAAAATAAAAGTACTTCAGCCCATCCTGCATAAAAAAAAAAACCCATAGCATTACATTTAATGACTTAATAAAATGTTTTTATAGTAAAAAAAAAAAAAAAAAAAAATCCTTTGGCTGCTTACTGTTACTGTCAGCTCACTGTTAATTCAATGGTGTTCTCTAGGACAGATCGACGGAGACAAAACTATAGTGAATATTAGATCTTCATTCTTTGCTCAGTTATTTTAGTGTTTTCATGATATCTTTCTCTTTTTTCCTATGCGGTAATATATACATTACAGTTCAAAAGTTTGGGGTCACCCAAACAATTTTGTGTTTTCCTGAAAAGTCACAATTATTCACCACCATATGTTGTGAAATGAATAGAAAATAGAGTCAAGACATTGACAAGGTTAGAAATAATGATTTGTATTCGAAATAAGATTTCTTTTACATCAATCTTTGCTTTCGTCAAAAAATCATCCATTTGCAGCAATTACAGCATTGCAGACCTTTGGCATTCTAGCTGTTAATTTGTTGAGGTAATCTGGAGAAATTGCCCCCCACGCTTCCAGAAGCAGCTCCCACAAGTTGGATTGGTTGGATGGGCATTTCTTGTGTACTATTTAATGAAGATGAAATTCCTATACCTGACATTATGCTTTTATTTTGGAATAGTAAGACTTTATTTTCATATTCAGAACATAAATTTCTCAGTATGGCCCTACTTATCTGCCATCCATCCATGAACAAACATGAGATTTTTGACCCCATAACTTCTTAACCAATACAACTAGACACAGCTTCCTTATTCTTGCAAAATACTATAGCATGGTGTCATCTGCGAACATTAAGTTCAAGATCCTTTTCATTGTCACATAGATCACTGCATTGCACCTTCAAATACACCTTGCTAAAATAAAACGTTATCAACAAAATTACTCCTGAAGTCAACTAAACGAGCTGTAGATCAGCATAAATAAATTGATGCACAAAAGCCTTGGAGGCCAGTTAGAGGAAAACGCAAGGCAATTGAGTAGAACACAGAATCCATAATCTAAGTATCAGAATGATCTGCAAAGCTACAAAGCCATGGCTGCCTACCTGAAGAGCATCAATCAGAGAAGCCCCTAATAGGACAGCCATGTCTGAAGGAGCTGCATGGATTCACGGCTCAATAGGAACATGCTCTCAACAGGAAAACTAATAGTTATGCTCTCCACAAATCTGTATGTTGTTCTTGTTGCAGAAGACAGCAAACATTAGAGAAATGATAAACATTTGGAAAAAGGTAGTCTGGTCAGAAGAGTGAGAAATATAGATTTTTTTGTGGCCTACAACTGCCACACATTACCTAGAACATGAAGGCAGCATCATAGTTTGCAGATCTTTTCTGAGGCAAGGACAGGGTTATGCTTTCATCCTCTGACATGAGAACTGCCTCGGAGTTTGTCTTCTTGTGTCGTTCCTAATCTATTTAAGGTATCTTCTATTAAATCTTCTGCTTTCTGTATCTCTGCTTCTGCCTCCTTGAACCCCAGTCGGCGTCGGCAGATGGCTGCTCACACTGACTGGTTCTGCTGGAGGTTTCTTCCTGTTAAAAGGGAGTTTTTTCTCTCAACTGTAGCTGCATGCATGCTCAGTGTGAGGGATTACTGAAGAGTCAATGACAAAATCATCAAGGAGGAGCATGTCCTGAAAGTCGATAACTTGATGAAATCAAATTATTTTTCTTGACGAAAACCTTTAACTAATCTGACTGTGTTGTCTCTGCAAAGTGCCCTGAGATGACATGTGCTGTGAAGTGAAAAGTAAAAAACTGGTGATCTAGCAGAGTGACAACCCCAAAGCTACAGTGTGTAATCATTAGAGGGATTAACTGACAGAAATATAATATATTCAACATAAGCATGTTATTTTTTTATCATCTACTAACTAAAAGTCTCTATCTTTATGTTTGCATTGCCTTAGAAATTACTGTTTATAATTACATAGGAGTCGGCCTTGCATTTATGGAGGCGGACATCTTTGCGCTACGGTGGCCCAGAGCTGACAAGCTAGGGACTGTAGAGATCCACTTTCTCTTCCTTGTCTAATAAACTCTGTGCTACAGTCAAGACTTGGACACTATAAACAGGGAATATATAAGCTTCCCACCAACACAATCTCTCAATCAAACTGAATGACTACAAGTGTGTTTATATATCACTAAGACAGCTCCCTGAAACATGATGTGGAACAAATAATGGCTATTCTACTGTCTTAGGCCTACATCAAATCTATATCCTACCCAGACTAATAAAATACTATTCACTGAATTTTCTAGTTGACATATTGAAAGGTGACACGGACCTTACAAAAGCCATTTTGTACCATGACGGCCTCCGTATTGTTTGAGGGGGAGAAACGGTGGCGGTATCCGTTAATGACTCTGCATTCTGACCGTTGTTGGTCAAATCACACACTGTAGCTTTAAAGGTTAAGATCAAAACAGAGTGGCCTAGTCAAAGTCCAGGTGGTTAACAGGAAAGAAGTAAAGACTAATTTTTTCCTCTAGTTTGATTAATTTTCAATTACTTTTTCAATGAGGAACTGGTTAAAATCCGTCCAAAGATTGGCAGCCGGATCTGAACTCCCCTTCCCTAAAGGAAACGGCCCACCATGTTTGACATGTCTCGCTTTATTCTGCAAAAACCCTGTTGAAATGTTGTCACATGGAAATGATATCTTTTGATTACTAACCAAAGAAAATGGAATAGAAAAGGAATCCATGTCAACCATGAAAGCCGTTACAGAAACGTTTTCCCACTTTATGTTCAACAAGCCATTGATCTTCCTCCTACTGAGGATCCAGGGAAACGATGTCATGGAAGCTGAAATGATCAAGTGACTCTAACACACTCTGGTCGTGTTTTTTTTTTTTTTCTGGCGGACAAAACAACATTAGACGTTCCCTTAGGAGCCCCCCGGCCTCCCTTCCACCCCACCCCCCCCCCCCCCCCCAACCCCCCCCGCAGCCCTCCGGCCCCTCCTCTGGGACCGCAGGCATCACACCCCACTCTCTGCGAGGCCTTTCGGCTGGATTATAATTGAAGCCGACGAATAACAAAAACATCCAGCCAATGTGACAGACCGAGGCCTGCTGCGCTGCATTGTGCACCCTTCGCCACCTCCTGAGAAAGTTGCACATTATAGATGAAAGTAGACTTTGATAAAGCCCTGCTTAAAAAGAAACTAACTGGATGATTATGGCTGGATGGGCCTGCTTTCATGCGTCAGATATCCAGACAGATGAGTTGATGTTAATGACGTCCTTCTAATCTAACCTAGGAAGCGATTATGAGACTATTCATTAGTGA